ACACACATCTCCTCTACTCTGTTGCATGCTGTCCCTCTGCGTTGATAAATTTACACGCCTCAATGAGAGTGTAGTAATACAAATAGCTCTGCCTCGCATGTTTTCAAAAAGCAACGTTTTTTTGCCCGTGKTTTTTAGTGAAGACGATTTGAGTTAATATGTGGTGCGAGACTTTTTTGATTTAAAATATTTTTCATATAAATGAGGAAGCTCAAACACAAACTCTTGCAACTAYTCATATAAATATATAAATCTTATGTGACTTGTAGGTACTCCACATTGTCGCTCAATATTCATTAAACTGACAGTTATAACCATTTCTGTGTTTATTTAAATTACAGTTATTACAGCTGCAACCGTTCAAGTAAAAATAATTAGAGAATGAAAGTTAAACACACAAGAATAAAATATAATATGAGCACTCTAGAGGAAAACAAAAACACACTTATGGACATATAAACAGTGATTTGGTATGAATAGAATGCATGYGGTATGAAATATAAACAGTATTGTTTGGCATTACAGGGTATAAATACAAGTCATAGGAAATACGGTTTGATATCATTATGTACCATATGAAATAAACATTATGGAATGTAAACATTATCAAATATAGACAGTGATTAGGTGTGGTGGCCATCTGCAATTAAGCTGACTTCAAAAGCTTGTAGATGTACGTATGTGTAAGTGTTACTTTCTGAAAGGCTCATTAAAATCAGTCACACAAAGAAATACACACACCGAAAGGCAATTATATAATCACCTGACATTATGGTGTTACTGTAGGTGATAAAAATAACCTCTGAAATAAATCATTTGCATTTTTATTATTTAGCAGGTAATTTTTCTTGTATTCTCCTGGGGTCTGAAGTGGTTAAAACAATGTTCAGCTGACTAATTTCCAGAACAAAWCATGGATTAAAAATGGATTTACCTAAAGCCTTACCCTCCCACTCTGATGGCAAATCAATACAACATTACCAAGATCTCACACGTCATATTTGGGACTAGTAGATCCATAAAACAAATTTTGATGAWAAAGCAATTCAATCTGGGAAAAAAATTAATTTAAAAATAGGGCTTAAAAATGGTTTTTTTTTTTTGTTGTTTATTTTAAACAAAGCTGAATTTAAGCCTTCCACGTTTTCTCAGTCAAATCCCAGACTTGGCCTGGAGAAGACGAGCGCATTGGGGACGCGAGGACAGAAAACTGCGTTCTTACCATTCATGGCTGCAGATGGAACGCTCGCACGGAGAGGAACGTCCTCTACGCAGTCGACTCGCTCTCAGACATCTGCAGAGAATCAGAGACCGGAGTGTGAATGTGTGTGCGGCGTACGGACCATGGGATGAAAGTGTTTGAATGAGGAAGATTACAAAAGAGAGGGAAGCAAAGCTAAAAATAATGTAATCTCTTTGTTATTGGAAGGAAGGCACAGTGAACACAGTGAGGGATGACAGAGGGACAGATGGGAGGCGAAGCAAGACAGCAGAATGAGATGATGCCAGAGCAGAGGGGGAAAGGCAACATTTATTTTACCTAATTTCCCTCTGGGATCAATAAAGTATTTTTGAATTGAATTGAATTATTATTGTTATTGCCTAAGACAGATTTCAGAAACCTCAGTGAAACTGTGTTTCCACACTGGTGTTCTATGATTTGGTTTTCTATCCAAGTATTATTCAGTTCAGATCAATCTACTACTTTGAAGACAAATATTTGATTTAATCCTCTGCTGCCAAAAGTCAAAGCACACAATTGTGTTCTTTGACTGTATGTGTGCAGGCGTTCGTAGGCAAGGTGAGCGAAGTGTCTTGCCCAAGGACACAACAACTGAGACAGCTGGATCTAACTGGCAACCAATTTTTTTATTGAAATATAATGAAAGTTTTATTGAAATACGTCCAGTGATTATTGAGATATTCTAACAACAAACACATGCTTAATTAAAAATTTAAATGGTTATTTCAACAAAAACGTTTTTTTTTTCTTTGAGGCAATCAGTCTTATGGGTATGTTGTCTCTATATGGCTTTATTATTAGACACAAAGACGTATATTTGTTGATTAGGAGTATAGATGTTGTCTTGGCTTCTCTCCACTCCAGTTATTGGSTGTCAGGCTCAGAGAAAAGTGTGGGCTGGTCAGTTAGAGAGCAAGCCTGTTAAAATAAGCGTCATCACTTGGATATAAAGCAGAGAGCGATGCTTATAGGAATAAAAGTGGGGGGAAGGGCTGCTGTGTGGGTTTACTGTCATGAACAACCGWACCAAGACCCCGAGGAAAACCTGTTTACTCCTTCAGGCTGACAGCCAGATGCTGCTCATCTGTCTCCTGGCTTAACCTTTGTGGCTGTAACCATCAAGCTTGGGAACCCTTTTCCTCACATCTTTCATGTTTAACTCCTCTAGTTTTTATTCCTTCTTCCATCCAACATGCGTGCATTCTTACCTGCTCTTACTGCATTGTTGTTTCATAATTGGGTTACCCATATTTGTGTAAGCTCCTAGAGGTGATACATTTCTACTGTGTGTTTTAATATAAATCAATGCCCGCTCAKGCCAGCGCTGCCAATTACTTAAGAGCAATGAACCATACACTCCAGTCTATCCCTCTGCCCCTCATCTGCACAGCGTCTGCAAACCCAATTAGAAAACAAAATAGACGACAAAAGTTTAAAAATTAATTCACAGATTTAAATTAAAATGTAAAGTTTTTATGTTTTTAAGGCCATGATATACAGTTTGCTATAGTTTATTTTTAACCAGTCTCAGTTTTTAAACACTAACTACACAGCATGCACGCTAACCATTTTAAGAATCTTGCTGGTACAAAGAAAAAGAAAAAGAAAAAAAAAAACATTTTGTGTCTGCCAAACTCTGTTATCTTTGGCAGGTTTTTGTAAATTCCACAACAGAAATAGGAAAAAAAAAGTGCAACGTGCATGTGTGTGTTTTTAAAATGCTGCTAGTAACAAGTTCCCCAAAAACTAAATTTAAAACCAGTCCTATCTGTTGTTCTTTGTCGTGCACTGAGTGAAATGCAAAGTTTACTGTTAGAAATAGGATATTTCATTACATGGAGTTGAATTTTGTTACTGTTAAGTTTGTTACTGATTTATAGGGCTGTGTATTAGCAAGAATTTGGCGATACGATACGTATCATGACAGAGGGGTCACGATACGATATATCCCGATATATTGCGATACTGTAAGCAAGGCGATATATTGTGATTTTTTTGTCCAAAAATTCTATTAAATAAAAACCTCTTACTGGGRAAAAAAAAGAAAAACCAAAATTCATTGTCTCAGAAAATTCTAATATTACATAGACAWACTTTTGATACATTTAGCTRTGTTCTGCTTTGTATGTATTTTAATTTTATTTGTTTCATGTTTCTTATTTCATCCATGTTTTCAATTATTAGACTWAATTTGCCAATAAATAGTTTGAAAATATATTTTTTGCAGCTTTTAGTTTTTAATATTAATTTACAAAATGGTCACCCAACWCTTAACAATAGCCTCTACCTCAAGAGGTAGAGGAGCCAAATGGCTGGCTCACTGCTGCCAACTAGCAGTCAGAGGCTGAACTACAACATAAAAATGAACGGCTGGCAGGAAAGTTGACATTTTAAACCTTAATTAAAWATCGATACAGGGCTTTAGAATATCGATACAGTATCGGAAAATGAAATATCACGATATTTCAGTGTATCTATATTTTCTTACACCCCTACTAATTTATAGTGTCTGCTTACTAACCAGACTTTAAGTAACATTTATTTAGTTATTTTTATTTAGTTTCACTAAAGTTCCCTCAAAATTCTCTCCATTTTACATAAAACYTTTTTTTAATAGGCTAATAAAACATTTATACGAGAATAGATTTAGGGGGCTTACTCCTGCACTCTGAAAAAAAAATGTTATAAGCAAACAAAGTAACAAAGATTGTTTATTTCACATTTTAATTTCCACCTTAATTGTTGTAGTAGGGTTCAGCATAGATAATTATATAAGTAGCATAGATAAATCAAATATWTGTTTCACAAATCACACACTTATTTTTAAATCTTCTGCAATCAGKGTAGAATWATCAAGKCCAGGTTTACTAGAGCAGAATAAAGAGGCTCAACGTAGTGAAAACAGGTGGAATCGCCCTTTAGCCACTCCTGTGCTTGGAGATTTTTTTCTCATAAATTCCTGATTTTTTTTCTTGTAAATTTCTAACTTTACCACGTCAGAAAATAATTACCGTATTTATTCAAGTATAACACGTAAAATTGAATCCATAAAATCATCCATAAAGTTGGGGGGTAGTACATGAGATCGTATTATACACGAATAAATACAGTAGTTTAAAAGCTGAAATGAATTGTTTTATTTTGTTTATTGCAAATTTACAACTTTTCCACATAAGAGAATTTCCCGTTCTTTTTCCTTGAACATTTCTGAAATTATTCTCAAAATTTCTAAGTGTTATGGCAGAGATTTGCGTACCCCCAATATCTGCAAAGCGGTCCTAATTCACCATTGTGGCTTAGAGACGCTGTCTGCCATGAAGGATTTTAATATAAGTCGCCATTACAACAAGTTGCACAAAGCTAAATATGAGAAGTACACTGACRATGCAAGTACATAAACAACAGCCTTTTTACCAGAATGAGTCTGCGCTCAAGGTGTCTTATGTCGCTGAAAGTGCTTGTTTTTTTTGTTTGCTCCAAACATTTTGTATTCATATTTATTAACCAAGAGTATGAGCATAAAATATGTTAAATTACTGCACTGTATGTTGCTCTAATAAATATGTATATTAGGGTTGGGCGTAATCGTATCGTGTGCAATTAATCATCAGAAAAACAATCGATTATTTTTTGGCACTTGACGATTAATACGATTAATGCCACCAGGCAGAGTCTGCTCGGTGCTCCTCTCCGCTTCATATAYGACCAACATTTAAAAAAGTTCTGTAATTTTATCTATCAACACAACTTAAAATTTGATGTACAGCCTGTAGTCTGTAATTTTGACAATTTGGGGCCGATTTTTTATGAAGAGCAAATCTTTCCCACTAAATTGGTCATGTGACCAGGACATACAGTAAGGGTGTCCAGGACTCCAGGGGATTAATTGTCAAATTAATCGTTATCGACTAAATACCACAATAAATCGTGATTAATTTTTTTTGCCAATATTGCCCAACCCTAATGTATATACACACAAACATCTTTAAAATGTCAATTGTATTAGAGAAAAGTGCTTTGAGTATCCTGGTTGGATAGAAAGGTGCTTTATAAGTACAGTCCATTTACTACCATACAGTATACTGTATGGCCATTGGCCAAACAAAGGAGTAAATTAGCACCCTGAGCTACTTAACTGCATATCGCTGTAAATGCATGCTGTTTAGACGGGCCTTTAACTACCTTGTTCAAACACCTGCATGATAGTATTTAGCAGACACACATCCACCCTCATACACAAACACTTGAATACCTTGAAGTGTGTAAGCTTTTTAAATACAAGACAGTCTCTCCAACAGGCTACTATAGAGAGCCTTCACTGTTCAAACAGGACATATCCTGACAGATACAAAAGAGAATCAACAGAAAGGACAAACAACACCCTCTTTATCAACACAGACTGTGCCATAGCAAAGTATTATCCTCAATATGCTTACTCAAATATATTTTTCAAGTTCAAGTAAACATGACAATGCTTGCATTTGGAAATGTCCAAACTATTTTTTTATAATATCAGTAATACAGGAAGACAAATAAAGATTAGAGAACATTGAGCTAATGGGCTAATTTCTTTTAGCATTTAGCACTTGAAAATTTCTGAATTGCATATTAAAGTCACAGAAGGAGCAGTGATCTGCTTTGCTGACCCATTACCCTGAAGCAGAAAATGAATCAAAGACCCTTTGACTCTCACCGGCATGCTGATTGACACCTGTGTGTGTGCAGCACACTACACCAGTTGGATATAGCGTATCAATGCATCGGCCTGTGTGTGTGTACGTATAAGCGTGCCGAACACACACTTCTCACACAGAGGGGGGCCCTGTTCTGGTTAACACAGTCCAGGAAGCCTTGCAGAACCTAGGGAAGAAAGACGCCTGTGTGTGTGTGTGTTTGTGTGTGTCGTGTTTTTGTGCTGATGTTCTGCCAATTCGCAAAAGTAAAGGGACAGAGACACAAAGACACGCAGACATCCACACCTTTCTCTGTTGTGCTCCATGTTAAAATTGAGGACACCGACTAGAGGATTCATTCATATTGTTTTTCATACATTTGTGGGTCAGCTTAACCCCTTCAAAACTACAACACACACACACTGCAGCTCAACCTACATGCCTCTTTATTGCCATTTGTTCATACTTAGATTGAGAAATGTTTAACGCAGACATTTAGGTTCAAATTGTTATACCTGTCATTAAAAAAAGTAACTAGTCCAAAGTTCGTTGCCCTTTTCATCACAACTGTGAAGGCACATGTGCAGGTTACGCAACGCTTTGTCTCGGCAGGTGGATAGATGATACAGCCTCGACTAGAATGGGGCGAGATGTGATAAAAACTGCAGTTTAAGCTGGACTTTGCCACTTCAGCAAAGGAAGCCTCCTTGTGTTTTCACTGAGAAAAGCAGAATGATACACTTTCGCACACTGAGCAATCTCTACTGCAGTGAAAAGACGCGTGTATTACAAACAGCTTTTTTTTCCATTAATGGAAGCACGTAAACACCTGATAACACATTTTCATACCAGATGCTGTAGAGCTGCTGGCAACAGTGAGGGAATAAATACACCTGCTATGGTTTATACAACAGGCTGGGTTTGTTTCCCCGTTTCATAAATCCAACTCTTAAAAAAAAAATCTTTAAATTAAGACTTTAACTAAGATTTGAATTGAGGAATCGATGTGATTTCCAATAAAAATAAATAAATCAGAGGTAAACTCAGTTCTAGTGTACACACCTGAACTCTACAT